GCCCTCTCCACAAAGTTAAACATTTCCTCTTTAATGATGTCATTTATGATCAGATAGATGGAATCACTGCTGGGTTCAATGATAGCTAATACTTTTCTATGATACCATGCAAGTGGCTAGAAAACTGCCCATGTGACTTTATACCTGTCCTTTACAAATGCTACATCAATGACACTTTCTTGCTACTTCGACAATCAAGTCACATTTCCAAATTTGTTTCTTAATTCCCAACATGAAGTTCACATCTGAACTTGATATTCACATCTCTAGGCTTTGCACTCAGAACTTCCTGCTTTTTGTGACAGAATGTAATGACTTTAGCCTCTGAAGCCATGTAGCAATGAGTTAAGTAGCAGATGATACAAAATGTTTGAAAGCCAAGGCACCACAGCATTATATCTGAGAAAGTGTTATAACTGATGGTGTTATAAGGAAGCAGTACTGTATATCTTATATGTATTGTGCAAAAGTGTAAAGAACAAGCTTAAAAACAGCTTACCTGCATCACAATAAATTAACTGCTTTACTTGGTCAACGGTTGGAAAGACATGTAATAATCGCCCTCTTAAATTTAGGTCTCGAACTTCTACACTATGTTGTACAGTGGCTACTAACAGTTTTTCCTGAGCAGCACAAAGTGCAAGAGGTTCATGCTCTGACATAAAAACATCTTGAGAATCAAAATGGTGACATGAAATAACTCGTACCATACCAGCAAAGACACCAACTCTCTCTTCTGTAGGTTTCATTGGAAATTATAGTAGATATACGTGGAAACGTTACTTACTGAAAAGATTTTATGAAAAAGCTAAAGCAACTCTGTCCCACATCAAAAATTTAATTTAATCAACATCTCTAGAACAATTCTTTTAAATTGGGAGCCATGTGAATCTGAACTTTATGATAGAATAAGAATAGAGAGAAAGATTTGTTGAAGTGATTCTTGAAGCTGTTCTATACCAAGTAGTCACAGAACCAATCAGGGTGGGATACCATTTTAGATTTACTGTTAACCACTAATGAAGATATGGTTGCAAGACTTGAAACAGGGGAATATTTGGGGACAAGTGATCATTGCATAACTAGAAATGATATGTTGTTACATTTAACACTGGAAGGATTGACAGATTAAGAGTTATTTCTTGATTCTGTAACTAATGGTATGTGATTGTTATTAGATGGAACATTGATTTGTATTTTCTTAGATAGTCTAAATATGGGTTTTATTATCAAAAAATCTTGGATTACTAAACTTTTGACATTCTCTGAAGAAGTCACTGCTTACATAGATGAGAGTAAGGGCATGAATTTCATGAATCTGGATTTTCAGATAGCATTAAAAAATATCTCTATAGATTTGGGGTATAAGTTGACTCTTTGGATAGGAAAGTGGCTGAACAAAAAAAAAGCAGAGGGCTGTTACATATGTAGTTCAGTGAACCTGGATTCATGTCAATGGTGTGATGCCTCAGGGCTCAGTCTGAGGACCTTCGAGAAATGTATGAACCCCTATGTTGGGTTAAGCAATGAGAATAGACATTGGGACATATGTCCCAAAAAGTTCAAATCCAATTACAAGGAAACCAAATCGAAGATAATACAAATCAAGGTTCTATATGAAAAATTTTAAGTGTGGTATCATTCTTTCACACAACCCTAAAATTATGGAAATAAAGGGAATTGAAAGTGTTAATGCACCATCTTTTTTTTTTATACTTAATGGTAGGACTAGGGTATACAAATATAAAGTTTGTCAGGATTGGATTAGTTTTCAGCTAAGAAAGCTTTATTTTTCTAAGAGGTTGGTTGGCATTTCATACTTAGTGGGCCAATAGACAGTGAGAAGATGCCCAAGGATTGGAGAGTTGCTTATGTTAACTCTAATTTTTATATGAAGTAATAAAAGCTCCCCTGGAAATTATGGGTCTGAATAAAAAAAGAAAAAAAAAGCTTTAAAAATGATTTATTAAAATACAATATCATAAACTAAAATTGACATGAATTTACAAAAGGTAACTTTGTCTTACTAATTTCTCTCTTATTTTCTTTAGGACATTACTTGATATCTGTATGATAGTGTAGACTTGGTGTACTAAGATTTTCAAAACACTTTTGATAAGATGTAACACAACAAATTAACTATAAAACTCACATCAGCACAGTTTAGAGGACTGTCGGGTGGTTGGAAGGGAGAAAACCATAGATTATTATAATTATATGCTGATGACATTAGATTCTTAACAAACAACCTTTGATTATAGTAAGTGCAAGTTAATACTACCGAGTTATCATAACTTGAATCAAATGTTTAATATACATGAGATCCAACTCAACAGTATGACTGAAGAAAGGAATCTTGGCACAGTGGTGGATATATCACTGAAGCAGTTCCCTTTTGCTAACAATAATGCAAATATAACTTTAAAAGTATTTATTGAAGTATTTATTACAAGTAAAAAAATTTAATTATCTTTGTATATATCACTAGTTAAGTTTCATTTGAAATCCTGTATATATTCCTTATATATCAACGGATACTGACATTCTGGTAAAGGTTCAGTGAAGGACAACTAGAATGGGGTGACCATATGTTCCCCAATTACTGGGAAGTCCCCAGGAAAACGTCTCCAAAATTGTCCCCCGTTTCCAAAATATTGAACAACCCTGAAATATCCTTACATTTCATTTCTTATACTTATAATGAAGTGTGCAGCAGAAATACACAAAAGTAAACATTCAGCTAGTTGTTATTATTATTATTAGTTTAGGTATAGCAATGACAACACTGGTGCAGTCATCATAGTTACGATCTTTGATACATTATAAAACATCTTTCTGTTCTTTTTTTGAATGATAAAAATCTACATCAGACAAACTGGGAAAAACACAACTTGCACTAATACAGTAAGCCTTTCCAGCTCTTCTTTCATCTGAAATTGTGGTAAGTACAGGTAAAACTTATTATAATAGTGTCTCCAGATTTGGTTTATGAAATATCATCACCTTATAGTTATACAAGAATGACTTTGGAGATGGATATCTTATAGAAATAGATTAAGATCTTTTATTTTCTCTTGCTAAAAGAGAGAATTTAAGTATACAAGATTATACAGGACATCAATAAAGACCACTGATTTCTTTGAGTTATATTCCTACAATACAAGAATAAGGGGACACAAGTTTAAGATTTCAAAAACAGAGAACAGCCTCCAGTTAATACACTTTTTTTCTAAAATGTGACTGTCTTGTGGAATGTGTTGCTATCAGTGAAGGCCAACATTTTAGAGTCATTGTTTGAAGAATAAAACTGTATTAAATGTTATCTTGTCTTCTTAATACAGCACAAAGAAATCAGAAGCCTTAATTCCATTAAGCCTCCAGATAATTTTGTAAATTCTGGTAAGATCAGCTTCTTATCTTTCATTTCTCAAGAAAAAAGAACTGATTTTAACCTATTCCTGTAAGATAACCATTCTATCCCTGGATTTTCTTCCTAGCACTTTGAACCCTTTTCAATAAGTCATTATCCTTTCTTAGATAAGGAGACTAAAAACTGTGCACAGTATTCCACATTAAGCCTAACTAATAATTTGCATAAAAATGTTTTTACTTGAATTACAATTTGTAATCAATGTCTATAAGTAGATCCTAAAATTCTATTAGTTCTGCTGCTTGAATTACTTGTCCATCACTATGCCAAGATCCTTTTCTTTAGTCATACAACTATATTAAGTATGTTATCCAAAGTATGATAACACAAATGCAGTACTTTGTACTTACTAACTAATCAATGTCATTCTTTAATACTTCAACATCCTCAATAAAGCTAAAAATACCAGAGTTTAATACCATCAGCAAACATTCCTCCATTTTTTTTGCTTTACCCCATCCAACCACCCTATGATAATGCAATTAACTAATTTTTCCCTAACCCATACCAATGTGATTTGTAGCTAATATTTTATATGGCACCACATTAAAAGCTTTTTGAAAACTTAAGAACACAAAGTCTATATTATTTCCTTTGTCCAGATAACAAATAATGTATGTAGAAAAACAAAATCAAGATTAGGAAGGCAGGATTTTCTTTTTGTGAATATGTGTTGTATTTTATTTATGGCATCACATTTCACTTAGTGATTTTGTAAAGCTTCTTTCATCATGTTGTCTACAATTTTCTCTACTACACAAGTAAAACTAATTGGCCTATCATTTTCAGTAGCAGCTTCTATCACCTTCATGTAAAATAACAATCATATAAAGCAACTTAACACTCCTCAAGCACCTGCCCATCCATTGGCCTACCAAAAATGAAAGAGGCTCATATATCTGATCTTTTTTAGCCTCCATTAAAGCCCTGAAGAAAATCATATTTGGCCCTGGTACTTTAAATTTTAATCACTTAATCATTCCACTTACATCCAATACATTAATATCTACATGATTCAAGTCAATTACAATACTGCCCATAAAATCCTCAGGAGTAGGAATATTGCTAATATATTCTTTTGTAAAAACAGAAGAGAACACTTAAAAAAGTTGCTATTTCACAGTTTCTAATAAAAACACTGCCATAACTGTTTCTCATAAGCCCTTTTCGGTTTCATAATTTATTATTTAACGAAATCCCTAGCCTTCCTTTAGTTTTACAAATTTTCCAACATATCTGTTAGCTTAAATTTTAGGCATTTATCTCTCATTTCCTGCTTTATGTCTTTAGTAAGCCAGTTAATTTGAACTTTCCTACTATCCTTTTTTGTAGGAACATGCCTATTTTGAACTAAAACTGTTTAGTTTTAAAATGTTCTCATATCTATCACAAACTACCTTTTAAATCAGTTCCAATTCATTAATGATAAATCTGGTTGTATGGCCTCAAAATTTGCTTTCTAAAGAACAAAAGATGCATTTCTTTTCATATCTCACAGGTAGCAAAACAACAAATCTAATTATACAATTATCATTCTTCCCCAAATATTCCCTTACTTCAACTCTTTTAACCATATCTTCATTAGTGGTTAACATTAAATTGAAAACAGCATCCCCTGACTCACTTCAAGAAATCTCTCTCCCTCACTATTTGACACCACACAATCATTTGTCTAAATTTAAAGTCTCCAATTATTATTACACGAGGATTGTTATTAGCAGTAACCCTGATCTGATCATACAAATTCTCATTAACCTCTTCCATCTAATTAGGAAGCCTATAAAAATTGTAACCCATATAGAAACAACCTGTTCACTGCTAGTACTATATTTGTCTTCAACCAAGACTGGCTGTAGTTTATCCCTTATTAAAAAGTTACCCCACCCACTTCTTTTTAACTTTATGAGTTTATCACTATCACTCAGTATCACTGTTACTGTTAGGCAACTTATAATCCCGACATTTTAAAATAATTCCTATTATCTATGTTTTCGAAATCTACCCACATTTTAGCAATTCCCATTATGATTATATCGTAATCTTTCATTTTAACTACAGCTCTGACCTCCATTTCGCTCGTAACACTAGTAATAGAAGTGACAGTAACACTAACATCAAAATAATAAAAACCAAGTTTATAATATATTGAACCTACTTGTTTAAGTTATTTATTTTTAACCCTTGAAAAACAAGTTCTGTAAATATAACTTATTTTGAGTATAATTTAGCCTTTCTAAGCTTCCAAACTACGATTATAGCGTTGTCTAATAAATAGAAATTGCCAAGTTAACCAGTTACATTACAATAACAATTTATATAATTAAAAATGACTTATTGGAAGTGACTACGCCTATAATTTTTAAAGTATGATTAATTTGTAATTGTAGAAATGAAAAACGTCAAAAAGCCTTTATTTTCATTCAAATTTCATACTCATCATATGAAAACAAGGTTTAAAAATTAAAGTTTTTCTTATTAATGTTAGCACGAGAAATTCTTCCCTTTACCGTTAACACCAAATCTTGCAAATGCTTACTTATTTACACTGCAAATAAAATTACATAAGATCAGGAAATAGTCAAAACCACAGGATAAACACGGCTAAAATACTGAGTTAAGAATATTTGAAAATATGTTTAACTTCTATGTTTTCGCCAAATTAAGCCACCACCAACACAGAACAGTTCTGTATTACCTTCCAGGCATGTGCAAGAATAAGCAGGAGATTGAAAAAAGAAAGAAAAAACTACAATCATATTGATACGCCTCCGGTCGTTAGTTAATTTTCCGTGAAAATTCTTTCCGAAGAAACTTTAGCGATACAAGTCCTTTCTTAAATAAAACTGGTTTATTCTTTCTGAATACAACTTTGCGATACACTTAATTTCCACAGTAGCGCTATAACAAACGCTATAATTCACAACGAACGTCTCACGTGCTCGACTCAACCGTCAATTACTCATTACATTGTTGGTGTCGCTTCTTGGCCGGTCTTATATATACAAGACTACCGCATATCTAGTAGTCTTCCAAAACTTCAGGACGGAACAGGATCCTTCTAGAAGTTCATGACGTGTTACTATCGTCACGTGACCCCCGCTGTCGTAACACTGCCCCTTCCTTAGTATTGTTCGTCCCGAACAATAGCCACTTACATTAAACCAATAAACAATTAACAATAACTTAATTAAATGTGCATAATTTACAAACACAAAATCAAAATTCAACAAAGTATCTTAATTTTACTGGACGTATCTTCTTCCGTACTGGTCTCCATCTCGATGGCTTCTGCTTCAAGTGGGGTTCATTTGCTTCATCAGGAAATGTCCTATCGTCGATAATAGTCACATCAGTGGTAGTAAGTTCATCAAGAGCTTCACCGTTTCCCTTCTCAAAACTGAGTAAAGTTTCTTCTCTGATGGTGGCTTCTTCAGGTGGCACGTCTTCAGCAGCATAATTTGTTCTGTTGTCCACTTTGTCCCAACTGAAATGTCCTAGACCGTGATAACGCCAAAGCCTGTTGGCATGCACCACTTTTGGCTTACCTCGCCGACCACATTTTATCCGGAAAGTCACGTCTGAGAGACGATCCACTATGTCATATGAGCCTTCCCATGGAGAAGACAACTTGTCTCCTGGTACAAAGCTGACTTCAGTGGATCTCTTATCA